GATTTTTCAGCCCATTTAGGGTTCTGACTATATACAGTTTGAGGGTCTGGCCTTAAACCCCTACCCTTCTTTGGTATTTTTTCTTAAAAAAAGTGTGATTTTTTAGTCGGTGTTAAATAGAAGTGAGGGGATCTTTTGTGGAAAAGAGGCAACTTCAATAACCTTGTGCATAGAGAAGAGAAATAATGAGGGAAAGAAAGAAGTGCAACAAGATTTGATAGATTCAAGCTGTAATGCCCCGTTCATTTGGAATAATATTGAGATTATTTATTATTTTGTTATTATTATTATTGTTATTATTAAATGTCTAATTGTTTTAAATGCTTATTAACTAATAATAAATAAATATTATTGTGTGCATTATATATATATATATGTATCCGTTATTTATTTTTATTATTTAATGCCTTGGTTATGTGCTAAAATTATATTATTGAGTAATAATATAATAGCTCGTTGATTTTATTTTATCGTTCGTCGTTTGGCAAATTCGGTTTAATCGCGTGAACCGATTTTAATCCATTTCAACTTGTTTTTGAGTTATGTTAATCCAAACTTCGAGATTATATTTTTGGCCCAATTATCTTTAATATTTCCGCCCAAATAAGCCTCAACTCAGCCTTATGATCAAATGATAAACCATTTTGCCTTAGTAATTGTAAACTCATTATTTTTTTTAAAATTTATTTCAATTTTGAAGAAGCCTTTATGGCATGCCTTGACCAGCTACCAAGAGCTCTTTCCATACATTTAAAATTCCCATATTATGCAAAATGAATGCCCTTGAATGTGGCAAATAAATCATTTTGATTACCTTGGCCATTCAAGATAAATTACTTCCCCCATCTCCCCAACATCACGTTTTTGCTCTTTCCTCTCCTTAAAAATCTGATCTCTCCTCCCTCTCATAGCATCCATATTCTGGAACTTAAGAAAATCCATCACAAATCGCCATCCTCGCCCAAGCGAGCCGACCCCGACGCCGAGCAAACCACGCCCGTGACCGTGCTTTGTTCGCTTTCTCCCCTTGGTGTTTGGTATTTTACTAAACTCCATTATTTATTATTGTATTATATGTGTTCATGTTGAATATGTGATATTATGTGATGTTATGATTTATTTGATTTAAAAATGTTAAGATCTGGTATTATATGTATTTTAATGTATTAGATCTATAGGGTTTAGGAGAAACCCTTATGATCTGTTGTTTACTCGTGGAGAGCTCCTGGATTCTAGAACATATGTGTGTCCTTGTGATGCTGGTCTTGACCTTGTGTCATTTGGAGTCCTAGATTTCAAGTTATGAATTTTTGAAATATATGTGGCTACTGTGATTTGCATAATTCGTTATAAATTGAATTATTGTCCAAAAATTCTGAAATTTGGATATGTTCTTCTCCTGATGCATGTTGACCTTGTGTTAAAATTATATAATTTTTGGAATCCATTTACTAGGGTGAATGTTTAATTGATTATTTCTGCTGAAACTTGTATAAATTATGGGAAATTGGTTCCTTAATGAAAATGCCTGAAACTCGGTTTATATGCTCATTTGACATTGTATTTGAAGAAATAAAATCTCAGGATTTATTGACTGCTTTATATTGAGTTTTTTATAAAAAAAAAATAATTTCTGCTGAATTTTGCAATAATTATGATAATTCGGATGTCTAGTGTTTTCACCTGGAAATTTTATATGTTATTCCCAGCATGTTGAAGTTGTTTGTTTAAAAATGTTAGAGCTTAAATCGTTCATTAAGTTGGACATTTAAATTTATGCTTGTTTTTGTTGAAATCTTGTTTTAATTTTATTAAATCAGATGTTTAAGTGATATGGCTGAAACTTGGTGGTTTTGATATGCTTAGTAATGTCTATTATTTGTTCAAAATTTAAATCAAAACTCGTTCATTTGCCTAGTCACTTGAAAATGTGATTTACTTGTCTTATTTTGCAAAAACTAGTTCATTATGTTTAAGTATGAATTTTTATGTGATCTTTCATATATGTTGCTCCCTGTTGATGTTTTATAAGTGTTCAAAATTTGGAGTTGAACCCTCGGGTGGATTTTGAGATAACCCGAGAGGTGCACTAAGTGGTGCTGCCTGCCAGCAGCACCCGCGCCCGGCAGCGCCCTGCTGTGCGCGAGCCCAAGTCCGTACCTCGGTTTTCGGACTTGTTCCCGAGCTTTTGACCTAAGTTGACCATTTGACTTTTGTTTGACTTGGTCAACCCTTATTTGGCTATTATGTGCCTTTACTATACTTGGTTTCGAGTCGATCAAATGTTCCATAACTCCACGAGAATTTTCCACGAGCCACTTAGTCGACGCGTTTCGACTAAGTTTGTGAGTTCGTTGGATTTGATTGTAATCGAGAGGCTATCTTGATTTCGTGTAGGTGTTTTGAGGTTTTGACCTCACCACTTATTCGAGCCTCGTACTTGTGAATTGTCACCGCAATCAGGTGGGTACATTTACGTTGTATCTATACTTATCGCACTCGTTATTTCTTATAAATGTTTGTTTCGATAGCTGTTGTACGCGTGAGAACCCTAGTCTAAGTGTCCCGTTGATAGTGCCTTTGATGAATGCATAAGCAGTGAGAGGTCACCTGCCCGTTGTATCCGGGAGGAGGACGCCCTGAACCGTTGTATCCGGAGGGGGGAAAACAGCTCTACTGTCTCCTGAAAAGGATCCCTCGCCCGTTGTATCCGGGGTGGGAAGGTTTCTGGTTACTCCTTGCCGATGTCTGATCGGAAGGTTGTGGTATGTACATAGAAGGTTTGCGATAGGGCCGTGTAGGGAGTTAGAGCTTGGATTCTATGCATACTTTATTTATGGTTTTGAATCTTTATGCGAGATATACTGTGCGGTAATGGTGAGCATGATGGTTTTGCTCACCCCCATTGTTTTCCTCTTGTCTCCTCTTCCTATCTTTAGGTTGAGCATGGCTGGCAGCGGCGGTGAGAGGACGATCGAGTGGTGGTTATTAGTTGATGTATCTTTTGCTTCCGCTTATTATTATCTATGTTGAACTACTTGTTTTATTTTGGAATATTTATGCTTTCGCTTTGAACACCATGATTATGTTTGGATGAACCGTTGATTCATGTTAGACTCTCTGGATGGTTTTGGAATTATTGAACAAGTCGGTTTGATTTTTATAACTGTTAGTTATGCATGTGTAGGTTCATTATACTTGTTCGTATTTGTTTAATTGTTGTTGATAGTTAAGTAGCGCCCGTTGATAATCAAAGTTTTAAATTGAGAATTTGCGAAAAATTAACTCTGATTTTTATAAATAAATTCGGTAAACTCTTTAAAATAAAACAGGGTGTTACACAAGCAGTTCATAATCGATATGGAAATGAGAAATTTTCAGCTGCAAGATCACCCTTTCACATGGGCCAACAACAAAAGAGGAGAGGGCTTTGTGGAAGAAATATTAGACAAATATTTTGGCTCATAGAAATGGATAATAAATTTCCCAGAAGCTGTAGCTACTCATATTCCAAGACAATTAACTCATATTCCAAGACAATCCTTTGATCATTGTATGATTTTGACAAAGCTTGGAACATCCCTGTCATAGGCACTCCTCTTATAAAAGTCTAAAGAAAGATTGAAATTGTAGAATAACTCTCTTGAAATGGAAAAATAAAAGGGTTCACAATTNCTGTTAAGTTCTGTCCCCAATAAAATGAAAGAGCTTATAAAAATGGGATGAAACAAGGACGGGAAAAGTTAGGCTAAACTGAATTTCAAACTTAGAGAGGCTTATCAGAGTGACGAGAACTTTTAGAGTAGATAAGTACTTTCATGCCAACACTATCCGAAGAAGGAAATTATTGGCAACCTGGGAAAGGAATGTAGCTTTCAAGAGAAAATCTTGGAGTAAATCATGGATTGCTACAAAACACTATAACTACTTATTAATTTCAATAACATCTTTCTTACTTTTACATCACATCAACTTTAATCATTATATTTTGAATATTATTTAATTACAAACTCAAAATCATCCACTCAATCAATTTTATTCAAAATAACTCACTCTAATCAACCAAATCCAACCAAAACCGATGAGATTCATATTCAGTCACACCCTACATGATACGAGTTAAAAAAATTATTGTAAAACAGGGCCAACAAATCTTAATTTTAAATAAAATAAAAAATAAAGCTTTTAAAGAGTATCTAAGTCCTGATTCAAGTTAAACTACTCCTAACACCCGTCGCCTCTTTTCCCCCAAATCCTCAATCCCTAACTTCTCGTCGGTAATTTCTGTCGCCTTCCCCGGTAGGGCTCGGCGAGTGCACGGTGGTGGCTCTACTGGGGAGATGGTCGTGCCCGTTTTCCTGTTTCCGCCTCCGCCTCCGGTGCTCGGAGTGAGCGGCGGGTGGCTGTTTCACCTTCGGTATCTCCGCAACAACGACCTTCTGGCGCTCTCTTGGAGGGGGCTGCGACCCTAATTTCCCGATCTAGGGTTTAGGGTGGAGACAGTGCTCCGACCAATTTTGTTCTCGGGGTCGACGACGATCGAAGGTCTGGGCTGCTATGCTCGAGGCTCGGGCCATTGTTGTTGACTGGTTGGTTGGGTGTGTTTGTCTCCGAGTGGCAGTGGGGTTGTTCGACTGGACGAGGGTTAGGCCCGTCGGTTCACGACACAGCTAGGCGTTCTCTTGCAGTTTCTAGGTCGGGATCCTGGGTCGAGGCTCTACCATTATTATGCTCGGTGTGGTTTTCCCCTGCGGGAAGGGCTCTCGGTTTATGTTTTGTTTCGATTCGTTTTGTTTCGTGTAGTATTTGTTATGTTCTGTTTAGTTTTGGTCTATTTGTAGGTCTGTGTTTTTTGTTTGGGTTTTCGGCCTTCAGTTGTTCTCTCGAGTGAGTGATTTATTATTCTGTTGGGATCGATTCTCACTCGGGTATTATCCTGTTGGAATCCTTTAGTTTTGTGTTTTGTCTTGTAGTTTTGTATTTTGTTTTTTAGCGTTGCTAGGTCCGGCGATCTTCGGGTCTGCCTCCCAGTCTATTCAGCTGCTGGTTGTATCTTTCAGCCTTTGCCTGAGTTTCTTTCCGCACTTTCTGCTAAAATATTTTTTTTTAGAACTTTTGAAGTATAAAATTTATTTTATTTTTCTTTATTTTTTTCGCACATTTCGTGAAAAGACTCGCTAGCAGACAGAATTATAGAGAAACAAAAAGAACAAATAATATTGCCAACGAGGGAGATGGTGGGAACTGAGGAGAAAGGACTGCAGAGTTGCAGGCGGCCTTGTGTTAAATCTCTTGCACCGCTCAATAGCTACCCCAAGTGGAAGGACAAGGTAAACCGCATATGATTCTTCACATACATCTGCTTCTTCGTTTGTTGTTCTTAATATATCTTACATATGCAATTATGGCTGTGTTAATGAAATGTAGCTACGAGAGAATTGTTTCAAAAGGGTTCGCGAAGACCGAAATCGCTTGCTCTGGAAATTGAGATTGCCCCAAGCCAAGTTTTCCAATCCAGAGGTTAGTTCCCTTTCCTTAATTTGGACTTTATATTTATACATGTTCTTCTTGTTTTACTGGCTTGTAGTAGTTTGATTTGTTGGCTTGCCAATGTATTGGTTTGCGTGGAAATTCTGGTATGGTTGCCGTGGGATGGTTGATTGACCTATGTTTTGTTTGCTTATTAGAGAAGTGAATGTTTAGTCCTTCATGTAGAAGATGGCCTTTTTTTGTTTCTATATTCGTGGTAGCGTTGATTGAGTTGGCCAGGCAAATAGTCATAGGCTCAGATGGGAATGTGAAATTCCACTTTAGTATGATTTTTTTTTTTTTTTTTTTTTTTTTTTTAAATAATTAGTATTTTCTCATACTAACATAAGTTGATAATTGATTCTGTAACCATAAGATATGTTAGTACT